GCATAGAAGATATTTTTAAATATCACCGGCTTGTTCTTGGTTTCAAAGTTCTTCATAATGTGTGTCCCCCAACATTAACAGAGTTTGTTCATAAGAGTGAGCAACGTGAGGGTAGGCTTATTCACTGGAAAGCCAAAAGCAACATTTTTCTTAATTCTGCTTTCGTGTCCTTTCCCATGCTCTGGGGAGACTTACCTCCTCTACTTCAAAACTCTGTTAATGTTTCCTGTTTTAAGAATAATTTAATTAAGCATTTTATTTCATTTTATGTTTCTGATTAGTTCTGATTGTTTTTGTGTATTTCATTTTATATGAAGGATAGGGAGCAAATATTATTCGGGCTTTCGCCCATTCCCTATCCGGGCAATGCAGGATGTTTTTCTCCTGTATGCTTTTTGCCAAATAAATATTATTATTATTATTATAAATATTATTATTATATCAAAATATCATAGGCCTGTCAGGAAAAATTTGGTCCGGGGCCAAAATCGGTCCGGTGGACCGATTTTGGCTTTAAAATTACCTGCCAAATATAGTCCACATAAGCCAAAATCGGTCTGGCGTCTATTAAATAGTTATAACTTGTATTTTTATAACGTTGTTCATATTTTTTTGTAATAAAATGATAGATAAATATCATATCTCTTATTATATAGCCTAATATGTTTTCATTCGTTATTGTATGTTTGAAATCATAGGTGAAATCACTGGTGAAAATTAAGTAAAGCTTCGCGCCCAGTAAACCCTTTGGTGTAAAAGTAAAAAAAGAAGTTAAATGATTTGGTCTTAAATCGTGTTGGTCCGCTGTAGTTCATTTTTACCTTTTTTTGTTTTGGTTGCGTGTGTGCTCCGTGACGAAGTACATGCATTCAATTCTGAGAATGCTTACTCCTTTATTTCATGTATTAGAACATCTATGGCGGCCAAAGTCTGTCCGCCGGACATTATTTGGCCCGGACCAATTTTGGCGTGACAGGCCTACTATCAGTGTTTGTGTGTACTCTAGCTAGTCATAATAATAAGGGGTATCATATGATAGCAAACAGTTATCTGTTATCTGAAGATATGGTTCAAACTTAAAATCTGTCTTTCATTCGGCCTCTTAACCATGTTGTCTCTCCTATAAAGCCACCAAGTCATAAGTGAACAAAAATCTCATCTCTTGTATGTCTCTATCGCCTCCATTTAGTTTTTTCAGCTATCTTTCTTAATCATACTTTTATGTTTCTTCTCAAGTTAATTGTATAGTTGATGCCGAGATGTTTGCACATCAGGAAGTAGATTTGAATCAAATTGACAAACTAACGCAAGAAGGGTCAGCTTCGATTGGAAATGGCCACCCACAAGCAGCAGTTTCTGTGTTCCTCGAGGCCCTGGGAAGAGCACAACTCATCAATAATAAACACTCTGTGAGGATATGCTCATGTAATTTGGGTGCCTTATATCTTCTACTGGGTGACACTGAAAATGCACTACGATATCTTGAAGTAAGCGTGCCTAAAAATGGTGAGAGCAACGAGTCAGACTCCTTTCAGTTGAATGGTGATGTGTACTACAACTTTGGACTTGCATATTTAACGATTAAGGATTTTGAAAAGGCTATCAGAAACCTGAAGTTTTCAATTGAGAATTTTGACAAAGTGGACTCGAAAGGTGCATCTTCTGCCGAGGCTCATGTACTATTAGCACGGGCCTACACTCAGCTTCAAAATTATCAGTTGGGTGCTGCTGAATATGAAAAGACTGCTGCGATATTTAAGGAGTTAAATGAAGACTATAAAACAGTAAAAGCTTTGATCAATCAAGCAACTTGCCTTTATCATGCTCTTAAACACGAATCTTGCCTAACTGTTACTAAGAAATGTCTTCCAATCTGTAAGCATATGCAGCAGGACAGTAGTACAGGTAAGTCATACACGTCAAGGCTCATGCATTCAACGTGAGACTCACTCATTCGAGGTCTGTCTCACTCTCTCACGCTTAGGACCAAAATCTCACGTATAAATGTAATATAATTGCATGTAATAAAAAAACATATGTATAATTTCTAGCTCTCCCGCTAAATACTCATCATCTAATATTACTTAAAGTGGGAATGGTTTTGTTATTATATATGCGAACACAAATAAATTGTGCACTACACCAGAGTTAAGTTGGGTTGGCTTTCTATTTCGATCGTGGACGGCAGAAATATGCATTCTGAAAAAAAAAACCAGATTTTCAGTTGTAAATATAAAAAGTAGCAAAGAATGTATTTCCGGGTATCTAGGGAAAAACATTGGTGGGGAGGGAGGAGAATGCCCTAGACACCCCCTCCTTTAGGGGAGAGGTTTTTAGGACAGAAGTCTCACGCCTGCAAATTGGTCAATCTTGACATGTATGGTAAGTATCTCTATACGAATTAATTTTGAACTGTCTAATTGCTATATTGTAATCATTTACTGATAATAGTTCTGATTAACGCAATTTTTATGTTATTTTTAATTGGCTGTGTTTTACTCTTTCAGGAAAACTGTACCATGATCTTGGTATACTATTTGGAAGAACGAAGACTTCATCACTAGCTGTTGATTCTTTCAAATCAGCTATAGAGTTATTGCCATCTTCATCATCTACCCAAAATGCCGAACAGCTGAAGTTGATGAAATACAGAGCATCATGTCTTGAACACATAGGAGAACTACTAAATGTTGAACAGCAATTCCAGGCTTCTCTGAAGTATCACAAGGAAGCTATCCAACTACACAGTAAGATTATTACTTATTACAGCATTGAATGTTTTTTAGGCCTTGAGATGTTTTTTTTATTTTTTTTATTGGTATTCAAATAATCTGTGTCGATTTTAAATAAAATATTACTCTGTTCAGTAATTCTGAAATAATCGTAAATAATAATTTTGTACGGGAATTAATTTTTATTTCATTGATAACTGAATTTACAAAATCTCAATTAATTTTAATTATGTAAATTATAATAATTATATTTTTGTAGTCTATATAATTAATATTGTCTTTCCATATTGTAAATACTTAATTTCAATTTTTAATTGATCTGTTTAATTGTAATAATTTCGGAAAAAATTCTAAATAATAATTTTGTAAAGTAATTAATAATTATTTATTTTGTTAATAGTGAATTTTCAATTATGTAATTAAATGATAATTATATTTTGTAGTTCTTTTCCATATAGGCCTACCATTAATATTTTTGTAATTTCATTATATAATGTTGCCTATTTTAATATTGTTTTTTTTTTAAATTTTTTTATGTAAAGCGCATTTGAACAAATGTAAATGTGAATATGTGATATATATATATGTAAGTCAGTAGTGACGTCATCACTTTCATTTGCACTGAATTTTCCTATTCTCAACTGATTGTTAATTTGATATAGTGCCTCCAATTTGTAGCGTCTCGTGTGCAAAAAGTTCAAAGCTGGGGTGATTTTACTCTAGTACATCGCAATAGATATTTTGTTGCTAGGCCAAGCTATATCGGACACAGTGAACCTAACAAATTTTAGTTGTAAGAAAAAAATCTTGCTCTACGGTGCTGGTAAGACAAGGCCTAGAAAGGCATAATGATTATGAGATAACAAGGTGATTGACTTTGAGTGATCATTGGGACACCATGAACCAAAGAGCAAGCAGCACTTTGACTTACTGTATGATATAGCAACTCTACAACCAGCAGTTTGATTAAGGGCCATAGAGATGTGATGGACGTCACAACTGACTTATAAAGCAATATTCAAGTAATTTCATACGCTATAGGAAATAGAAGTCTTAGGAACCATTATTTTCTTCAAAAATTGCCTTCAGCCTTGCAGGCTTCAGGGATTTCTTTCAGGAAATAATGGCTCCTTCGGCTTCCTATAGTGTACTCAAAACCTGACTATAATTGCTTCAATTATTATAACATCAAGTGAACAGTGACGATGGCTTATGGTTAAGATTCTTGCCTATATAAAGTGAACAGTGACGGTGGCTTATGGTTAAGATTCTTGCCTATATAAAGTGAACAGTGACGGTGGCTTGATGGTTAAGATGCTAGCCTTTCAATCACAATGTCTTTGGTTTGAATTCAATCATTTGTTCTAAAATATTTCCAATTTTTCTTTATATTGTTATAGAGGGTGACCCTTCAAGCTTATGCCAAAAGGCCAGCAGATATTCAGAGCCCTCTCAGAAAGTAATCACCATAGTGCGGTTGGTTTTGGTGTCTATAAGTACCGACGATTGATTGACTGAAGTGAAATAATAAGATGATTAATAAGTATCATTACTAGGCTGAGAAAAACAAAATTTTGGGCTGTCACAGAATTTGAACCCAAGACCCTGGGATTGGAAGGCAGCTACCTTAACCACCAAACCACATCTCCACTACAATCTTATTCATGTCTGTCAGACTCAACAATGTTTGATCAGACCTCATTTGATTGTTTTTGCTTGTGTCAGACATTTCTGATAAAAAATATGTGTCTTTCTGTGTCTATAAGATGTCAGAATGCATATCTTATTTAGATCTTATCAAATATTATCTTGATAATTTATGCTAAACCTAAAATGGAAAACTTATTCATTAAAAAGGATCTTAAGTTTAAAATGCAAACATTTCAGTATTAATTTCAGTGTAGAGTTCCAGCTGATACTATAATTCAAATAGGCATTGTGAAAATATAGAGATTGAAGAAGATATAACATTCAGAAATTGATTGAAAATATGTAAATACTGCATGTTTACATTTCACTATATAGTTGTTTGTTTAATTTTGTGCATGCATAATGAACAGGTACAATTAAATTTTAGCAGGTATAACTAGGCAATGGATGTGTTTCAGGTACTACTTAGTAAAAGAATATAAGGAAAAAAAAAAGATAAGATAACATAAAAAGAATTTTAAAGATAAGATAAAAAGAATTTTAAAGAAAAGGAAAAATGAAAAAAGGAAGGAAGGAAAAAAATTAAAAATGAGATAAAGGAAAAATTTGATGCAAGACATCAAAGGAATAAATAAAACCATAGGGTCTGTCATAAAACAAAATTTAATTGATGAGTATGATTTATTTGGTTATTTGACACCCTGGGATTAGGCAGTAGCCAAAAGTGTGAGTTTATTCGTTCATTAGTTATTCTGCACCAAAAAAATATTATTTACATGAGCGACAGCCCAACACAATAATGTGAGCCACCTGGTCCAAACACATTTTTTATTTATTTATTTTTTTATTATTTATTTAGGCATGCAATACATGTGCCAATGATTGTCAATAGGGAATATATCACTGTCCTACTTGTAGGTGAAAATCCCTTACACAAGACAAACATATACGCGATGCTTTACACAAACTAAATCTCAATATGAGATTTTGGAAGTGGAGTTGTTTTGGTCGTGAGAAAAAATCCTGCAACACTGACAGGAATCGAACGCAGGACCCTGGGATTGGAAGGCAAGCATCTTAACCACCAAGCTAATCAACTCCACATACATTTTAAAAACACAAAACTAATAAAAAAAAAAAACCTTAAATACAAAGAACGGATGCAAATTGTCTAGTTCTCGCTTATGTATTCCATTGATTGAGTTCCTAGTACACATTTCAAGCGCCCTGAGCATCTTACTTTAGATGGATTTGTGCGCTATATAAAACTACATTATTATTATTATTATTATTATTATATAAATTGGGAAGTTTTTTTTCATGTTTTAAATTTATAGACATTATTTGTTCCATATCTTAATTCACTTTCAATTTGTTTGTGTGTGAAAAAATTGATTACACTATTTTGTTACGTGTCATTTCAGCTTATTCGCTTGTAAAGCAATTAATGTTAATTGGTCTTGTTGTCATGACATATATTGAATATCAATCGAAGATTAGTAATAATGTAATTAAAAATTCTTTACTTATTACTGTATTCGCAACACATATACTGCCATCAAGGACAATGATTAGATTATTATAATATCATATCTAGATGATGCACTACAAACACTTCCTTATAATTTCAGGTAAGTTAAACAACCACCAAGCTATGGGCAAGTGTTTCTCCAACTTGGCCTACTCGTATGCTCAGCTTCAAGACTACCTGAAGGCGGAACGGGCTTATCATAATGCTCTGCAGAAAATGGAAGAAATTGGTAAAATTTATATACCATTAGGAAGGTTTTGTATCTAATGATACCAATACATCATAACTTTATTTTTCATTCGTGCCTGGAAAAAAATTCTGTTTCATGTTTGACAAGGAATGCACAAATTGAGTGTGTGATGCAGAGGAGCATTCGTAGCCTAAATTTCTGGTATGAGAGAAAAATTCTCATTTCTTCTGTTGAACGGCAAGTTACTTTAATAAGTTGTAGTGAATTGGTTTCATTGCTATCATGTTCATAGATTTTCTTCGTTTGATTCTTCAGTTATAATTAAATGTTTAAAATTATATTCTTTTTTCTACTTATTATGACCCCTGATTTTTCCAAAAAAATGTTTTTTTTTGTAAAGTTCTGATACACTATAGAGACAGATATAAGCATAGGTTTAAAAGCTCTGAAGTTTATGACTTAATTGTATTTGTTATAATGTATTGTATATGGTTGCAAACCCTTCTTAGTATTGAATTAATAATCATAGGATCATTTAGGATGTTTAACACTTTAACAGTGTTCTACCAGTGCCAGCCAATTTAAAAATCTAAGAAAAGAATATAGGGAATATATTTTTTTTTCTTTCAGTTGGTGATAATCATACAAACATGCCAATTCATAAATGAGAGCTAAAATATTGAATTTTTATGAGCCTAACACAGACAGAACAAATCATGTTTTATTGATTATTATTTTAATTTACGTAGGTATACCAAAGGCATAACAGCAGCCCATTAAAATGCGATATAACTTAGTAGACGTTATTATTTGCTCTGAGACACTTTTATTTTTAATCAATTCTTATTCAGCATTATCATGATGGATGTCTTGGTGGGGGGTAAGATAGATAAGTGATTTTTTTAATATGTTTTCCTTTTAAAGGTGATTTGAATGGGCAGTGGCAAGCATATGAAAGCCTAGCAGATGTGAACTTCCAAGAACAGGATATTGAGCGAGCTATAGTTCATTACAAACAGGCCGAATCTATTGTGCAGCATATAAAATTAGATCCATCTATCCATGATCGTATTTTAAGCAAATTGTCGAGTGTTTTGGAATGCCAGGTGTCAGGCGCAGTAAGAGCAACGTTAAATAGGCAGAGAAGACCGATATCAGTCTCCAGAACGCAGGTAAATATGATCAATGTGAGCCCGCATTTATTCAATTGACTGCATCATTCATTCATCTACAAAAAATGTAAACATTCAGGCCCCTCCACCCTGCGATTGTCTGCAGTCCAGTGCATAGTGTCATTATAAATTATGGCGTATTTACTGATCAGAATAGTTAATTACAAGTGCAATAATGATGTGGGAATGCTAATTAGCAGGGTTTTTTTTAATTGCATCTTGATCATTGTTGTTGAACTCTTAGTTTTTCAGTATGTGACAATTTTGATCAATATGCAAATTATTTTTTCCAGAATCAGTTTCATGGCGAAAGCATAAATTCAACTCCAGTTCACGGTATGTTTTCCCATAATAGGATAGCTCCACAGGCTAGTGGTGTATCTTCAGTCAATCCCCAAGTCAAACCCTCAGTGTCAGCCTCAATCAAACCCGGTGCCACTTCCACTAAAAAGCCATCACATCGGAAAAGGCTAGGCTCGAGGTATGTAATTAGTTTTTTACAGAATGTTGTCTATAGTTTTTGTACAAATAAAAGAAGTGCGATTGCCATACACTATTAGTGTTATGAGTAAATGTTATGTTGGTTTCAAAGAAATAAAATTAGAGCAACAAGAGAAAAAAAAAGTATAATTGTAATCAATAATTTTCATTTCCGTTTATTTCCCTTTTATTATTATTTTACTTATTCTGTACACTAGACCTATATAATAAAATCATGACAAGAAAAAATATTTAAAGGCTACATTGACAGTACAAGTAGCATGGCCATAAAAAAACAATTTTTTTTTTGTAAGGTATGACCAGTACACAATAGGGAGTTTTTGATGCACGATGTTAACCTTAACTTTAACGGATGACATCAAAATTTATTCATCTTGGGTACATTATTTTCAGAATTTTACATGCTTGACGTACGTTAGTTACGGGTTTGCACATGCGTATTTCGATTTGTTTACAAAAGGGGCGGAGCTATCGTGCTGCATGTTGGGTACTAACGTTAAAGTTAAGATTAACATCATGCATCGAAAACTCCCTAATAACAAAACTAACTTGTATTTTTGTTGATGCCTATGTAGGAAAAATCGTGCGAAAGGGAGACGGCGACAAGGGGAGTTTGATGTTCCAGTTTCCAAGGGAGTTCTATCATATGAAAGTGAATCAGAGTTATCCTGTGCTTTTCAGGCTTTAGCCACCGAAGATGATGCAGATTGGAACCGTCACTTTTCCGACAATGCAATTTCCACCAGTGAACATAGGTCATTTAAACACTCTCTCCAAATTCGAAGGTATGCATTATTTTTGGATTAGACATGACCCCAGTGACTCCAAATGCATGTGCATACAAATATAACTGCAGTTAAAATACAACCTGCTATTTGAAGTGCTGGGCTTTCTCGATATTTAATCATCATTATATATTTATGTTTATATACCGCATACATAGATTCAAGGCATGTGATTGGTTAAAAAACTGGTAATAATTTCAACTATCACTCCAATGACGAAATTTGAATGATAGTTCATAAATTCCTGGGGAAAAAACTATCACATTAAAATGATAGTACTTTTTTGCTCTGTCGCAATGTATCTGTCTAGGCCCCACTTAATGTCGCTGCATAATTATGACACGCATGGACATAAAAGAGAACTGCAACCTCTACGGCATGAGAGATTCCATGGGCCTTTCATCTCCTAGGCCTAGCCTCTAGGCCTACTTGATGGCTACTCTTTGGTATGAGGTATATAAAACAAATATTGGCTGCTCTAGATTCCGGAATAAATAGTCTCCACATCACCTCAGGGCAATAGATTTCACCATTTTGTATATTAATTATTTGATTCTGTTAGGATATTGCTTCACCAAGTACATTCTGTTATTGTATCCCATAGTTTTTTTGGTTTTTTTTGTAACTGTAAGTTAGAATGCAAGAATTGAAATTTGTTCAATTTTTATTTTAAGATGTCCCAAAAAATAATATTAAAATAAGTAATGACTATGCTTTGTATAAGAAACTACAGCAAATATAAATAAAAGAAGTAACAACAATGTGTGGTTAAGAAGGGTTGTGACTTGAAAATATATTTTATTGATGCACTAGTAGTATAAAGTTACAGAATATGAGATTGACAATGGACAATCGTTATCATTATTAAATCTATCAATGTAATGCTTGTTTTGCAAATTAATGCCTGGACACCATACCTACCAATTGGAGTTGAAAGTTTAGATTGACTTTTGAAAAAGTAATTAAGAATGATGAACAAAGATTAATGTAAATGTTGGCCTTGATTCATTACAGGATATCTCATTAAAGTTTGCAAATTATGGTTAATGTAAACTACAAACAAGAGGAAAATACAAACATATATTATGTCCACAACACTTTAAAGTTTAATGATGAAACACAACTACCGATAAGGATCGTTTGGTCACCGTACAACAACACACTATAACACGGGCAAGAGCATGATCGGATATGCAAGCTGCCAAAGAAAATTAATGTGTAGCAGTAATTAGCCACAGAAAGCTAAGCTACAATCCAACCAACATAGAGCTTAGTAGTAGTCATGGTAACAGTTGACACCAAACAATCACATTTATTGTGATATAATATTAATATGTTGGAGGCTAAGGTTGCCCTACTCAATACTTTTATGAATAACTACCTTCTATCAATATTTGTTTTGGCATGGTAATACCTAAATATTATTTTTTATTTTATTTATTTATACTTAGGCGTAAATGTTAATACCTAAATATTATTTTTTATTTTATTTATTTATACTTAGGCGTAAATGTATAAGAGAATAACCTCGCAGCATTATTGTCCTGAATTGCATATGGTAATGGTAATGGTAGGGTATTTGTAGAGCGGCTTCCACAATAACATCATCTCAAGGCGCTGACAGCACACAGACCCGAAGTCCGATTAAAATAACGAACAAATATTGGCAAAATAAAAAACAAACATGAAAGGGAACATGAACGAACATGAAAGGGAAGGGAAATGCGTAGTCTGCGACTACATAGCCACTGTAAAAAGGGCGCATATAGTAGTACATGTTTACGTCATTCCACAATGAAATGCAAGTACACACAAGCTAAATGTATACACGAACCTCTATTTTAATTCCTTATCCGAGAAGATTTCGTTATGCCAACCAAATTCCGGGTGAGGAGTGGCTGGAACCATTGCTGATGTTAAGGCTGTAGTTAGCAGAGGCCCTGCCTTACCACTCAGCCACTCGACTCGTCCAAAGATTGCTGATAGCGAATTTATTGCTGTTCCACTTGTAGGTGACAGTCCTTTTTCGCAAGACAGACATGCATGATGTTTTACACAAAATTGTAAAATTTATGTATACTGCTACAGTATATATCCTAACTCATGTAAATTTTAGAATGTTTTTCGTTTGAAACGATGTTGAGGAAGACCAAGTTTGATAGCAATTCGGTTTGATAGCAATTCGGTTTGATAGCAATTCGGTTTGCTTTTTCGGAATCCTTTCTCACCTCCATTTGTAATTGTAATGTTTGTTTTGTTTTTTAAGCTTGGTTTATGAGAAAATAAAATGAAATGAAACTAAATCTTAATGTGAGGCTTGTTTTGGTTGTAAGAAAATTCTAATAGGAATTGATACCAGGACCCTGTGATTGGAAAGCAAGCATCTTAACCGCCAAGCTATTCAACTCCACATAAACACCATATCCACGAGCTGGAGCTAATAATTATTATGCACCCTCGTCTAAAAGTAATCAAGTATTCTGGGCCATGTTTATTGTAAATATTGACCTTCATAGAATACATTATTATTAGAGCGAAGCGTTATTAGCGTTGAGTGCTATCAGCCTATGGCATATTACTGTCCACACCTCATGGCAATGCATATAATGATGTCTAATTATAATAGTTGCTAAGGGAACATGTGTTATTGAGGCACATTGAAATTGGCCAATCAAATCACTTGTTGAGATGCATTGCAATTGGCCATTAGTCATTTGTTGTTGAGACGCATCGCAATTGGCCAATCAAGTCAAGTTTTTATCTATTGTCAGTTGTACTTGTGTGCGCCTTGTTGCAAATTTTTTAGAGCTGATATGATCAAGTAAATTTAGGGTGCATTTATAGTGATGCATTTGATCAGTATTGATGACCACAACAGGTTATCATCAGCATTTTGATTCATGGTAATGACAAGATGAACAGCTGTGTCGGTGTAGGCCTACACTCCTTCAAATAGGAGGTGTAATTTACTGGGTGGTATATATTCTCAGAGTGGGGTAATACGGTTTTTGTTTTGATGGTTTGAAAATATAATTTAACCAAGGAATCTGTGCATTGTTGCTTGGTGTTTTTTTGTTTTTTGTTTGTATGTAACTCTTTGTCCTGTTTTTCCTCCTTGGGTCTTAGCTCGACCAGAAAGTGGAATTCAGAACAAGGAAACTCATATGTACACTTGAAAACTACAAGACTTTATGAATGATCTATCTTTCTCTCTCTCTGCAGTTCATCGTTACCGGATGTCGAGGTGTCAGGTAGCACAAGGAGTGCAACACCTGGTAGTCAGGTGTTGCATTCACATTCCGATGATGTAGACTCATCTTCTCTGACAGATATTACATCTGATGAAAGCACTCAACCAAGGTATTTTTTTTTACATCTTTAATTTTTTTGTAGTGTTTAAGATCAAGTATACTCTGCATGATTATGAGTCCAGTTGGCATGATTTTGTAGCATGGTAGTAACACAGTAGTTGCTACAGAGTAGTTGCTTGTCTCGCTCCCAGGATTCTAGTTAAAAAACAGACAAATTCCAGTTGAGTTAGCCTGGGTTCCAGGCCCTAATTTTAGGTTACTCACTCTTTATTGCACTTAGTGCGCGCCATACCTAATTTAATTGGCGTCCCATACTCGATTTCTTTTTTTTTTTCTAATTATTCCGTCTATCTCTAAATTAACTTTCTCGTTGGTGGCGCTGTCCAGAATGAGAAAATGAATAACAAATAAGAGACTTGTGACAAGTCTACAGTTGAGTATGTGGCACAGCTTATACTGTAAGTGGTGAGACAATGGATGTTGAATTTGATATTAAAAAAAATAACCTTACACCATGTGGAGGTACCAGCACTTGATAAAAATATGTATTGTAATTTTTAGTAATTTATAATGCAGCGTGGCTTGATAATTTCAAGAAGAAAATCAAAGTCAGTGTCAAAGTTTGCAATGTTAATCTGATCTCAGTAGGTAGTAATATCTTTCATTTATCGATTTTCCATGATTTTCAGTGTCAGGGAGAAACAGCAATTATTGCTCAATTTACTTAGCCTGATGAAAACGGCAGAAATTATTGATTTTCTTTGATTATTTATTAACACAGACCTTGGTTAAATGGCAATAGTGGGCTTGATACTATTGAAGGCAACTATCAAATCATTAGTGAACGAGTCCCAGTGTATGCACAGGTGACCAAACACAATGGTATGTACTTAGGGTTAACTTGAATTTTAAGTAGGACTCTGTGTTATTTAATAACATAGCAAGGTGCTTATGATAAATGTTGAATTGATGCTCTATATAAACCTCTGTTATTATTATAATAGCTGTATTTGAGGCTCTGCGTTTATTTCAAATGCATTATGTGGTACATTGGCTGGTTAGGTTATTGATTTTAAGGAGCAACAGTGAAACAACAAATCAAACAATTGTGAGAGGAACAGAAATTTCTACATAATAATATTTATTTAAAATATAATTATTATATTGTAAGATGATGTAATACATGTAATAGAGGGATTTAGCGATGGGCATCACGTGACCTAACTTGAGTGTTGGATATAAACAATCCACTGACACAGCGGTGTTTTACATGGAGATTTCTGTCTCAGCTGTCCCTTGTTTATTGCTGTAAAGATCATCATAATTCCCAGCAAACTATACCAAATTGATTTGAGATTAAACTTAAGAATTTTGCCTTAATGTTTTGCTAATGCTGTAAAGGATACTGGCCGCAAACATTGGGATTTTTTTGACAAATGTTAGGCCTAGGCCCCTGCCATCAGCATGGTTAGGTATGCATGATGGTCTTTGACCCGCGAACTACGCTGGGATGTTAGTGCCAGCTAAGGTTTATGAAGGATCACTTAAATTTCAAAGCATACAATCCAAGGAGAACACTATAATGAGTATAATAAACACTATTTTGAACAATCCTATTGCCTTTGCTAGCCATCTCACGTTAACAGTGGATGGTTGTTTTCGCAACCATTACGTTATCTTTTCCTATGCTATAGCACTGTAATGTTTTTCATATATACCCAAGTTCAGTCAAGTGACCGCCTGTAAACAATCATCCCTAAATCCCTCTATTAGTAGCTGCACCGAAGGGGAGCAGAGTCAATCCCCCTGTGGAACAAGCCAACCCTTCGGAGAACTACTCATAGATCCTTTAAATTGCTAATGTTGATAATTTGTTGTATAAATAATAACAGTAGCAAAATTGTACCATGTTTCAGTCGCAGTAGCTGGCTCGGATGTTGAAGAACAAGAGAAGATTTATGAAACACTGAATTCCAAATTTGATGCTACAGCACTACTTGGTTCCTCAATGCCAGTGCGAGATCCACCATCTCCCCCGTTACAACGACCGCCACCGCTACCTCCACGCAAGATGCGGCAACATGAACATCCAAATTCATCAGATAGCGAAGACAGTGACTGCACTGACAGTTTTGAAGAAGAAGAAGATGAAGATGATGATGATAATGAGGATAATGGTGATGATGATGGTGAAGAACCAGCCTACAAGAAATACCAGCAGTCTGTCTATATGAAGCAACTATCCAGAGGTCAAAGGTAACTTCTTTTTTTTCTTTTTTTTTTTTGTCTATTTTCCTTATTGAATTTCAAATTGTTGAACCAATTTCTGGAGCCTTCAATTCACAGCCAGTGACTAGATTTTTCGAGGACATTACTAGGTTATTGTTATGAATGATGTCCCTATAGGTTCTTGGATTAGATTGGATTTCTTGGGTGTACTTTGAATTGTGGGTTCATTCAATTCACTTGAAATACATTAACAATTCTGTCAATTTTTTTTTTCATTTTCAGAGAAAAAGAGCTTTTTCAGTTAGCTCTGCGTAAAGCATATGCACATTCGTTTGAAGCAGTCAATGAAGTTCAAGAAAATCAGGAAAGTCCCCCAAAGAATCCATCAAGTTCAACAACGACTATAAGATCCTCAGACTCAGATGTGTCATCTAAATCTACTCGTTCAACAAAGTCTCGGGCCTGTCGTATCATGTGACCAACTCATTTGTGTCTTCGTCATGCAGGCAAAATGCACTACTCTACCATGGGATGAGCAGTACTTTATCATGTGATAAATAATTCTGTGTAATTAGCAGTACTGTATCATGTTATCACTTGATCACTGAGCTGCATCATGTGAAGACATTACTTTGTGATTGTGGTGTACGGTAAGAATGGCCCCGGAAAAAATGGCCCAGGGAAAAATGGCCCGGGAAAAAATGGCCCCGGTAAAAATGGCCCCAAATGACAGGTAGGTAAAAATGGCCCCAATAATAAAATTCTGTATTAAAACTGATTTTTTTAAAAATCATTATATGCATTTTTTTAAAACTGAAATAATTTAGTTTTTAAAAGGAATCTAACATCAAATAAATTGCCATTTACATTTTACTTTTTGCAGAAATTACATATTCAATGATAAAATATTCAAAGATAAAAAAAAAGCTGCTTTTTTTTTTCTACTTCTTTGAAGTCACTCTAAGCAGAACATTTATTGAAGAAAAGTAAGCCTCTCCTTTTTCCCATACATGAACTTGTCATTCAAACACACAATTGATCCACATGCTTTAACTACTGTTTATTTGCACTGTTTATAACATGTAAAGTTATTTCATTTGATACTTAACAAAAGTGGATTTTGTGGTTTATCTATGAGTTGCATATTGTAGTTGAAGTACTGTATGTATGACATTCCTCTACTTTGTTAGTGGAATAACGTTTTTAAAACTTATTTCAACTATCAAAAAATGTTCAATGGCCATTGTTTTCTGATAATCTCTCAGTACATTATTTGCATCTGTTGTGTAACTGTATTTGTTATTGATTCAATTCTTGCTTATTAGTACCGTATTTAAATATTTGAAGATTTTAAAAAAAATATCATTTCTATTACTGAATTTTTTCATTGGGGCCATTTTTACCTACTTGTCATTTGGGGCCATTTTTACTGGGGCCATTTTGATTATATGATGGTTGGTTTTTACAACAATATATATTCATAATTTATACTTTATATTCTGCTACATGTAAGATATACCGTAGTAGCCAGACCAGGTTTTTGTATGCACTTTGAAGTCCAGAGAATTTGACTTCAGAAATTGATTTAGGGTGGTCTCACCGATTTTAATAAAGAAATAATTCAAAATACAGTATTGCATTTTTCCAGTCTGTAAATGGCAGTATTCAATTATTATTATTATTGTTATTATTACTATGACGATGACAATGACGGCGACAATAAATAAATAAATAATAGCAATAATATTATTAAATTTAAGATGTATATAGCGCCTCCCGTTGTAATAATAGTAATACGATTATAATTATGTTGATGTTCATGATGGTTGATATAAGTTGATGATAAGACTTGTTTCCAGTAGGGTTCTTCTGTGCGGTGATTGGGCAGTAAGGGCCTACACCAGGAAACAATCCCATGGACCATATTAAACACCGGACCAACAGCTTAAACGTCTTATCCGAAAGACGTGCGCTATCATAATTTGCATTTCAGCCCTCCAGCTGAAATACAAGGAAAGCAGTGATGGGAATTGAACCAAGATCTCCACTGTTCATCGCACACAAAGTGGTTACCACAAGTTTAGCCGACTGAGATAGGTTGCTCTCACAAATACTCTGTTTATTTGTTCGACAATAGCACTTTCTGCAGCTCATATTATTCCAGGTTATGTGATATGGTTATTGGTGATCTGCTTGTTGGTGATCCGCTTCACAAGCGGATCACCTCTTGTTATTGTCAGGTTCATCTTCATCTTTTTTATTCTTCTTTCTTTCTCCCCATTTCTGTTAACACGATATCTCAAATTTGCCAAGAGTTACGAATATGCTCGCTTCAACGAATATTTGGCTTGGCCTGGAATAGTCACAATAAAGGTTTGCTCATGTGCTCAGTCATGTGTGACGTCATCTAACCAGTTGTCATTTCTAAATCATATTCAGGGGGCAAAAACATCAGGTCAAGGTTGAATGTCACGTACCAAAATATTACGCGTGCAGTTCATAACGCGCGCACACGCGTGCGTCAATATTTTAAAATGCTCAAAATCACTTTGAACTCGGGATTGGTAATAGCTATCAAGGTCAAACTTTTTATTCTAACTTATATTCCACCATATTACTTGGTCTCTGATTCTCCCGTCGGGATAACCAAAAGTAAAATTTATTACTGTCAATGTGGCTCTCCATGCGATGTTTGGCCTATTTATATGCTTAGAAATTTAATATATGCAACTCTACTAGTACTATACATCAATTTGGAAAATAAGGAGACAATTGTAATTCAGTGAGTGTTACAAAAAGCACATAGTTTTTTAAATTAAGATAGTTGATTTGCATGGATCCAATCAGTTATTTTAAAAGTATAAAATGTATAAAATGATTCAAAACTGTACAATTTGTTTGAGTAAATATGGCCTCACTTTCTCTATTTGGAGTCACTTTTGTTTTATTTTATTTGAACATAGTCAGTACACCTTCTGGTAAAATTTGTTAATTACATATTATTAATAATAAAACTACATACATATTATCATACATATTATACCCTAGTAGCCAGACCAGGTTTTTGTATGCACTTTGAAGTCCAGAGAATTTGACTTCAGAAATTGATTTAGGGTGGTCTCACCGATTTTAATAAAGAAATAATTCAAAATACAGTATTGCATTTTTCCAGTCTGTAAATGGCAGTATTCAATTATTATTATTATTGTTATTATTACTATGACGATGACAATGACGGCGACAATAAATAAATAAATAATAGCAATAATATTATTAAATTTAAGATGTATATAGCGCCTCCCGTTGTAATAATAGTAATACGATTATAATTATGTTGATGTTCATGATGGTTGATATAAGTTGATGATAAGACTTGTTTCCAGTAGGGTTCTTCTGTGCGGTGATTGGGCAGTAAGGGCCTACACCAGGAAACAATCCCATGGACCATATTAAACACCGGACCAACAGCTTAAACGTCTTATCCGAAAGACGTGCGCTATCATAATTTGCATTTCAGCCCTCCAGCTGAAATACAAGGAAAGCAGTGATGGGAATTGAACCAAGATCTCCACTGTTCATCGCACACAAAGTGGTTACCACAAGTTTAGCCGACTGAGATAGGTTGCTCTCACAAATACTCTGTTTATTTGTTCGACAATAGCACTTTCTGCAGCTCATATTATTCCAGGTTATGTGATATGGTTATTGGTGATCTGCTTGTTGGTGATCCGCTTCACAAGCGGATCACCTCTTGTTATTGTCAGGTTCATCTTCATCTTTTTTATTCTTCTTTCTTTCTCCCCATTTCTGTTAACACGATATCTCAAATTTGCCAAGAGTTACGAATATGCTCGCTTCAACGAATATTTGGCTTGGCCTGGAATAGTCACAATAAAGGTTTGCTCATGTGCTCAGTCATGTGTGACGTCATCTAACCAGTTGTCATTTCTAAATCATATTCAGGGGGCAAAAACATCAGGTCAAGGTTGAATGTCACGTACCAAAATATTACGCGTGCAGTTCATAACGCGCGCACACGCGTGCGTCAATATTTTAAAATGCTCAAAATCACTTTGAACTCGGGATTGGTAATAGCTATCAAGGTCAAACTTTTTATTCTAACTTATATTCCACCATATTACACAAATATGGCATTAGATTACCTGTTATCCCTTCTTTTCTGAAGTTATCTGCACTCAAAATAGCCTCTTTGTTTAACGACACATTTTTTTTGTGATTTTCAATGTCACCCTGTGTCCATATGAGTGAGTGTATACATCTTAAATTACAGATACATTATCTATCGGTAGTTGTTTCTAGCCACAAGCAAGCACAGGCTGATCAAATGAATTAAAATGGAATGGCATCCATTCAAAATTGGGACCAGCCCTAAAAAAGTGAAAAAAAAGCCTATGTTTCCCATTAACGGTTCGTCATGTGAACAGTTAAAATCTTTTCTTAAATTTACTCCAGTTAACCAGATATATTAGATCTACTTATACACCAAATTTCAGCTTTGGTACTCAGCTCCTTCATGATAAGATACTATGTTGAAAACTACACATATTTTAACATAATCAGAAATAACTAAATTTTTTAAGAGTTGGGTAATTCCATGCCAGCATGGGATCATAGATTTTTAAAATTTTTATACTGACAGTTATTCATGTGAATTGAAAAACCTGAAATTTTTAGACTCCTGTTTTTTTTCCCGTAGCGGCAGTTTGATGTAAAAGGGGGCGTGGCACAAATTAGTGCACTGTGAAATTAACTTTGATTTTCGTATGCTAATATCTTTAGACGTACAGCGCCTATAACATTCAGATATTGTGGTGTAGGATATCTTTTACTGCTGATTCCAAATCTGCAATCAGAAAAGCTGTAGCATGTACCATTGTGGAATAGCAATGGTCTAAACATGGGACAAAAACCTGCCTGGATAAACTTTTTGCATTTTTGGAGGGCTGATCTGGGGCAAATTTTAAGTTTAGTTAAGTTTATTACTGTGTATATAAGAAGTAATACTGGTGGGTTAGGATTTCTAAAAATTTGGAGATTAAAAAAGATTTAATTTTTTAGTTACGGCTGCCTGAACAATGGTCCAGACACATATTTTAACAATCGGAAATAACGAAAGTTGCTAAGACTTGGGTTATTCTATGCCATGAGTCTTAGATTTTTTGCACACTGACAGATATTCATGTGAATTGAAAAATCTGGTATTTTGAGACTCCAATTCCTGTTAATTTTTCCATAGCAGCAGTTTGACATAAAGGGGATGTGTGCACAAAACATAGCAGGTCGAGATCCATGAAAAGTCGTATATAAAGATTTATTTATTTATTGAGCAGATTAATCACACTGATAAACAATATTATTGTACAAATTCGGCTGATGCATATGAACTTCTATTTAGAGACATAATTTCATTATTTTCTTTCCAAAAAACTTAATAAACGTTTACCAGCACCTCATATCGACTTTTGAATGGTGAAAATCGGCTCAGTATAACCCATTTTATTGAGTACAAATTTTAAGTTAATAGAACATACTGCTGTTACATCTTCTAGTTTTCCCCCACCGTTGTATTTAGGTACACGCTACAGTATACACAATGAGCATAGCAGAGTTCCGCACGAACGATTCAGCCCACATCTTTATTATATGTCTGAGTTAACGCATGAATGGTTTTATGGACCTTCTCGGGACTTTTTTCCTACCCCACATCTTTATATCTAATTTTGCTGAGAGTTCCGCTTGAACAATTTCGTGGACATTTTGGTATCTGCGCATGACATGCTCCCATTGCAGAGTTTATAATGTTTTGAAAGGCAAAATCTAGGAAGAGCAGCCAGCAAGCTTACTGTCCGGAGTTTTAGAAGTTATTTTATTTTTTCTTTTTACTGTATATTATTTTGCTTTTTAAGCTGCGCTGCTGGCACCTAGCTATTGTAGTCTTGCTTGATTGTGTATTGCCTTTTTTTTATCTTAAAATAAATGAATGATTTTTAGATAGAATAATTTATATGAAAGAATAGTGGTGGTGGTGCTGTTCTTTATATTTGAAAACAGAGACCTGCATAATGAAAAATGAAAACTCAAAACAGAACCATTTATATTTTACGCATAAGTCGAAAAAAGGCCAAAGCAATGCTCTAATCAAAGTTTTATAGTAGTTAGGCTGACGGAGCACCAAAGTGGCAAAAAATTATTTACAAAGCGATTTTTGTTGGAAACTGTTGATATCGACCTGGAATACCACCAAAAAAAAGTTGGATGGATTTCGGACATTAGACATTTTACCTAAAAAAAATCTATATATAATAGCAAGGTGGTGGGGGTAGAATAGATACGGTAGCCATATCTTATCTTAAACCCGTAATACATGCATTTTTAAGTATAAAATATCATTGTTCAGTACCACTACATTGTTTTTTATCAAGGGTTATGCAAACATATCATTAATGATGCAAGAAAAGGTCAAAGGTCATTGCAACAAATTGGCCCATCCCTTAACAAAGCAATGGATTATGTACATTCCTTTTGAAGTTCCTGCTTTTTTCTCTAAACAAAGTGTTTTATGGCTCATTAAATCTTAAATTTTTAAAATAATTTCACAATGGCGTCCAAAGATGGCCGACATACATTTTGCATAGCTATTATTCAGTAACAAGTGGCACTTACTTTGCAGTGGAAAATTTTTATTTTCTGGGTCATAATATACCATGCAATAAAAAAAAATGTAAATCTGTTTTAAGGAATATATGAACAAATATTGAATTTAAAATAAAAATATATATGTAATAATAAGTAAGGCACATGTCATTGCTGAAGAACCACAGATTCTTCTGGACGCTTAAACCACCATTCCATTGCGGTCAAGTTCTGCTGACGTTTGCCATGTTTGTGGAAGGTCACGGGCTCGAGTGTCGGTTGATTTTTTTTTTCTTTGTCAGATTTCCTTTTTGTTGCATTTCAATATATATATATATATATA